ATACCAGTCACTTTCCCCTCCCTCCTCTCCTCCTGTTCCCTTCCCCCACCTCCAATCTGCCCTCCCCCCCCCATCCACTCCTTCATTCTGAAAGGGGCATCAGCCTACTTTCCTACAGCATTCAGGATCACCAGCCCAGGGTGGCATCACCTACGATGGGCTGGCCGTTTCCACATTAATCACTAATCAAGAAACTGCCCCACAGGCTTGGCTATAGGCCAATCTTCTGAAGGCATTTTCAACTGTGGGTCCCACCTCACGGAAAGCTCTAGATTGTAGCAAGCTGACTGGAGGTTAGGGTGTAATGATTCCACTAGACCCAAGATAAACGATAAATGAGTGTTTATTAGGGAATACTTACACAGATAATAACAGAAAGCATTTCTCGGCCCTTCTGATCAGATCCGCTGACCCAAGAGAAAGAGCCTGCCTGAGAGAGACCACGCCTTACACTTCTCTCTTTCCGCTTCCGTCTGCCTGAAACCACGCCCAAATGGGTGTGGCCACTGTTACAGGTTCACAGGCAAGAGGCCACTACAGTTGACAAAAACAAAAACAAAAAACCAGACCCAGAACAGGTACCCTAATGGAGATGAGGAATGAGGCACGACAAAAGATTCATCGGTATAAGTTCATTGATGGTATCAAACGTGCCACTGTGAGGGAGAATGTTGAAAAAGGGTAGGCTATGCAAGCATGGGGCCAGGAATCATGTGGGCAGTCTCTATACCTTCTGCTCAATGTTCAAAGAAGCAAAATCAAAAGTGTTCTTAAAAAAAAAAAAAAAAAAACCCACCAAACCAAACACACATTAAAAATAGCAGGCAACCAGTTTGACTCTGGGACTCCACGAGTATTCGGCAGTTTGAGTCAATTGGTATTTGGGTGAGTGGTCTATAATCAGGCAGCTACCGTAAGCGTTAAGTCTCTAGATCAAGCACTCTCAAACCAATTCATTTCCTTATAGGTGCGTTGTATTTAGACCGCTTAGGTGAAGTGTTCTGGACAGAGGAAGGAGAGAGCCCAAACCTCAGAAAATGTCTGAGGTTTGTTTTAAGATTAGAACCATGAAAGGGAAGGTTCTGGAAGTGGGATGACTGAATGTGGGAAGGACTGGTCACATCTGCATAACAGCGGCTCAAATGTGCAAACTGGCTTCTGTCCACAAGCTGCTCCAACTGGATGGGTCAGCCCTGTCTCCGTTGTGAACTTGCCACATCCCTCCAAAGGAGGTTCTTTCCCAGAACATGGAGGCTATCTTGCACCTTTCCCGGGACTCTGTGGACTTCCTAGCCATGGCTTGCTTGCTCAGCTGGATGTTCCTTGAAAAGTCATTTGTTTGCTATGGGGTTGAAATTCCTCTTTTACGTTGTGGATGGGACTCAGTAAGCTCCTGTGACTGATTTGTTCTCCTGGCACAGAACAGTGTGTTGTGTGGCACCCCTAGGCTGGTAAGAAAGAGGACAGACACAGAATTTCTGGGTAGGAAGGCTCTTTCTTGTATTCATCACAATTGCTAAGGCACTATTTTAAAGCACTGTGTTCGATAGCCCCAGACTAGTTATATTTTAAACTGTGTATGTGTGGATTGTCTTTTCATTTTTCTTAAATTTTTGCTTCTAGATGTCCATAATAACAGCCAGACTGTTGATGAGTCTAATGATTAGAAGCAGCCTCAAAATTCCTCTTACGGTCACATTAGGTTCAGCTTTGAGCTCTTGGCAGAGCAGAATGTGTGGGGTTTATCTAGCAATCTCACTAAGAGACTATGAAGGCACGGAAGACATGGATACAAGATAGATGTGCATTAAGAAATGAAAGAGAACAGGCTCAAAAGGCCGAATATTATATGATCCCAGCTATATGACATCCTAAAAAAAGACAAAACTATGACAGAAAAAAGATTGGGTTAAGACAAGACAGGCCCCAGACATGTGTATTAGGTTTACAGTTGCTTGTTCAAGGACTGCCTAAATAACAAGTCATAAAGCAAACGGGGCGGGTGCTGGCCAGGTTTAATTCACTAACTGCCATGCTTATTCCCTTCTTATCGCTACTAAATGGGTATCTCAGAGGTGAGCTTCAAAATGGCTGAGCATGTGTAGTCACTGTTCCTGGATGTGCTTCAGGCCTGGAAAACAGAGAGCACACACACTGCTCTTGGCTTCAGAACTTGCCTTCCTATTTCCATTCATCACACCTACTTTCTTTGGAGCCAATCTTAGACATTATTCTTCAATAGCACTGAAATTGCGGGCATCTCTGATGGGCATGCCCTTCTGTACGCTGTGAATATATGTTTCTCTTATTGGTTGATGATTAAAGCTGTTTTGGCCAATAGGCAAGCAGAATGTAGCCAGGCAGGCGGGGCGACTAGATGAGGAGAAAGCTGGGAGGTAGGATGCCCGGGCATTGTCTAATAAGGCCATGTGGAAACACATAGATTAATAGTTATGGGTTAATAATTAAGAGGATACTAGCCAGTATGAAGCTTCAGCCACTGGCCGAATAGTTTATAATTAATATAATTTTTGTTGTGTCCATTTTTAAGGGATTCTGGTAATAAGAATGTTATAGCATAGGGGAAGCAAGCATCTAAATGGGCAGATGGTAGGGACGTCTGCATGAGAGATAATTCCCAAAGCTATTATCAGAGTGGTAATGGGACTGGTGAAATTCTTCTAGCATGTTTAGTGTCTGTAAAAGAACCACTGCTTTCAGAACGGACAAAGTTGGGTTCTGAGAAGAAACTCATAACAAATCCATTTATTTCTTAAATAAGCAAAACGACCCTAATGTAAATATCAAGCATCTGATTTGTCACAAACCACAAAGTGTCAGTTTTTTCTTTTTTAGCTCTCCAGTACTCAGGGAACAAGGAAAAGAAAAAAGTTGCATAGCAAGGGCAGAAGTGTCTGGACCAGAGCTTGGCAATTTACAGGCATGGATTGGCTACTAATCTTTTTTGTTGTTGTTAATAACTGATGCACATCCATTCCCATTTGTTTACATACTGTCCACGGATACTTTTGCGCTTCCATGGAACAGCTGAGTAGGGAGGGACAGATACCATATGGACAACACAAAATCACAAATATTTACTCTTTAAGTCTTTACTGAAAAAGCCAGTCCTTGGTCTAGACGAATAGTCAGATGGGCCAAATGCTGGCCAAGGGTTCCCAGCCTACAATTCCAGAAGGGGCGGGTTGGCTTTGGCTGCTGTCGGGCCCTGAGTATGAAAAAGAGAAAGAGAAACACCCTACGATGAGCCAGTCAACTAAAACTTCTATCCCCCTTGGTTGGTGCACCACACTTAGTAAAATTAGGTCTGAATATAATGTATTTGGCCTTGACTTCAAAAGCATTCCTGTACTGCATAAATGAATTTCATTTCTCCAAACCTTTAATGTATTGTCATTGAGGCTGTGTCTGTGCAAAATTCCGCAGAGCTCAAAACTGCGTATTGCAGCTATGAATGAGGTCCCAGTTAAACTAAAACTCAGTCTAATCACTTCCCAATCTTTGAAACCAATGTCAAGATTTACTAGAAATCCATCATTTAAGGCACTGGACACACAATTTAGCTGGGCCTCCCAGAGCCAACACGCTGCACCCATTTAGTAAAACATGTTGTGGTGTTGATTATATGACTGTTGCATCCAGATTAATGGGACATTTTTCACGGTGGCAGGTGCTGTTAATAAGGATTTGAAAACCAGGGATGGGCTTTGGGTTATTTCATTGCGGTCAGGAGTTCAGGTTATAATGAAGAAAACTAAAAGACTAGAGGTGGTTAAGATTAGTATCTCCTTAGCGCTGAGTTTAGCATCATGCACAAACACAAGTCTTTGTGCACACTGGGCGGCATGACTGGGGTGTCATTAAGGATGGGCCTTGTTGTTTGGTTACAATAAGCTTGTCCCCTTTTCTGATTGCTTAAATATTAGGCATAGCATAAACGATGAAAGTTACCTCAGATTCAGCCTGCAAATGTATGTTAGCAGAGCATGCTAGGTGGTAGCCGAGAAGTCCTACCTGGCACAGGCTCTCCTACTGGCTATGTTCCATGGCCAAATTCAAGGAGCTGAAACCCAGTTCTCCCATCCTGGTTTTCCTTTTCTAGAAAAACTGACAAAGCTTCAGAGGACTTGGGGGAAGAAACAGTGTGTAGTACGGATATCCTAAGAATCTAAATGCCATGGTGAGAAGTTAAAATATAGAAACCTACCCAATAAAGTATAGTATCTGCAACAGCTTAAGGCATATGACATAAAGTTTTTCTTCATTTCCAACATAAATAGAATAGGATCATAAGGGAAATGCTACCATTATTTAAAAAAAATAAACATTGCTGCAAAATTGTTAACTCTTTACAAATTTGTGTGTCATACTTAACACAAAGGCCATGGTAAAATGTGTGCTGTTTGATTTTTACTACATATATACATGTGCCACAAAGGTGAGTACAGTTTTATGTCTTAAATGCTCCTCCCATTTATTATTTATCTATTTATTTATTTGGTTTTTTTAAGACAGGGTTTCTGTGTGTAGCCTGGCTGTGCTGGAACTCACTCTGTAGATCAGGTTAGCCTTGAACTCAGAGATCTGCCTCCCAAGTGCTGGGATTAAAGGTGTGCACCACCACTGCCCAGTATATGCTCTTTTTTTTTTTTTTAAGCAAAAAAAAAAAAAAAAAAAAAAAAAAAACAAAAAAAACACCAAAAAACCAGCAGCTAGGTTTTGCTTTTTTAGTACATGCCATTACAGAACACTACTCTTCTCTTTTCCTTCCTCTCTCTCCCTCCCTCCCTCTTTCCCTCCCTCCCCCCCCCCCCAATGAGGCCCTTTATTTTCAAAGGAGGATTTTAACAGGGTTGCCTTTCTGAAAAGACGGCTTGCCATCCTGACAGGGGAGAAAGGAGTGAGTCCTCACGAAAGACTTGTAGGAGATGCCCCAGAGAAGCACATCAAACCTTTCTTTAAAGACAGGCCGCAGCAGCCAGCAGCGGGTGTTTTGTTGAAGCTGACTCTGCAAGCCTCGCGGAGGAGCAACCTATGCCTTCTATGGCCAAATCTCAAGCGCACATTTTTGTGTGACATCCTGCTCGAGCAGCCAGGCTCTCATTAAGATGCAGCCTGTTGGATGCTCGCTAGGGAGAGATTCAGGGTGTGGGAAGCACTTTGAGTAACATTCCATGAAAGCATTAGACTGTTAGAGATTAGGAGGGCCCTGATTGTCCGCAGTGGGGGAGAGGGAGGGCTGAACCGAATGTGCGCACATGTCAGCGTGAAATAGCTGCTGACACAAATTGAAGTGTGCAATTTTTAAAAAAGGTGGTATTGAATAACCGGCCGACAGCCATCCCTCTCGGCATTTTAGGCTTCTTTCTTCTCTCCACTTTGGCTGGGTGTTGAGTCACTTCCATCAGGCAAGGTTCCATAGGATAAGCCATTTGAATCTGGTTGTATTTTGTCCAACATTTGTTTCCCTGTGGAGATAATAATCATAAAAGACCTTTTGAGCTCTTAAAAGATAAAAAAATGTCCTAATAATTTCTCTCCAGCTCTGGCCACATTTTATGCCTTTAAAAAAAAAAAAAAAAAAAAAAAAAAAAAGAGAATACTATGTGGTTACCCTCTCAAGGAAAAAGATAGAATGTCAAGGAAAGGCTCACTAAAATCTCATAGCACTTGTCATGTGGTCACACACTTGTCCACATGACATCTGCTCGCTCTGTACCGGGCAGGGAAACAGGCCGGAACCATCAGCAGAGCCACATAGCTCAGGCACTCATCTCCAAGCCTCTCTTCCAAGTGTTCTGTCTTTCCCCTTTGTCTGTACAACGCAGGAAGACATCATGGGCCGGGAGCTTTAAGAGCATTTCAGATCCTATCCGTGGAGCTTTGTGAAGTGGAAAAGAGTTAACAAGCAAAAAAACCCAATCAAACATACAAACCCCCAAAACAAAAAACAAAACCCTTTTAGTTTTCAGCATTTTCATTTCTTACAAAAAAAAAAAAACCAGTTTTAAACAAGCCCCAGTGAGCGCTGTTACTACCAACGCCAATTCTGTCACCGACTACTCTCGATTAGGTAGCTCACACGGCAAAGAGAATACAAAACTCACTTCCTTGCTCTTCATTTTTTAATCTTACAGAAACTTTAGTCATTTCTGCTTTAAAGGCATGGTGGACAAAAACTACTGTTGCATGGAAATCTGTAGGTCACCGCAAATCTCTAGCGAAGCTGGGAGTGAGTGGGTGGGTTTGGGCAGGAGAGTGGTAAGGATGGCCGACTTAGCTCTGGGTTTTCTTCTGTTGTGCATGGTATGCACACAAGGGGCGGGTGTGTGTGTGTGTTTCTCAGTGGAAACAACCAGCACTGGAAAAATGGTACCCATTGACCCAGTCTGCATGGATGAGGTGAGGAAGGAGAGTGTTGGCACCCTGGTGATTGTGCTGGTCACTTTTAGCATCACAGCAAACAAGCTGCCTCGGTCTTCCTCAAGGGTGGTGTTCTTTAGCATCCCCACCATTAATCCTCCCTCAATGTCCCATCAAAGGGTCTGTATGTGTCAGGGTTATGCCGCTCCCCATGCATCCATGTCCTTTGACACTTTATGGAAACCCCAGTGAGATCCTCCAAGTGATCCACATCAAGGAAGCCAGGTCAGCTCTTCAACAATCTCACTGTTCTGTGCAGAACTGACATTTATACATTATCAACATTAAACCTCCCTGGGCTTCATCACTAAATGCACTTCTTGAGGAAAAAAATTACATTTTTATGTTAACAGCCAAAATAGTGCCAACAATGATTAATTTATGAGGATAAAAAATTTTTTTTTGTAATGTAAGAAGATGGCATTTATTTGCTTGTGTGTGTATGCGTGCTTGGAGATTAGAACACTTGTAAGAGTTGGTTGTCTCCTTCAACCGTGTGAGTCCCAGGGAGTGGACTCATGCCATCGGGCTCAGTAGCAAGCCCTTCTATCCACTGAACCAGGCCCAAGGATACTCTATTATAAATTAGAGAAAAATATACGTATCTTTTTTTTTTTCTTACCAGGAATATTCCCAAAATCAATAAAAGACTGTTGTAGATGTTCATTTTCTCTATTTCTTGTCACCAAAAATACTCCAAGGAATGACAGAAAGCACCTGTAAGGGACATGTTAATAAAGAACACAGAAAGACTGAAACAGCTCATGGTATTAAATAACTGTGCTCTAACTTGTACATGATGACATAAATTCCATCAGTTTTGTATATCCCATTTCTTATGGTAAACTGCCTCAAACTTGTCTTAATTTTTACAGCCAGTAAAAGTTATACCCAGAACCAAGACTTGGGCAATTTCCAACAAATCTCTGCCCCAGGTTTTCACCATCTGGAGGCTAATTCAGGCTCTAAACCCTTTGGGTAGACACTAGGTCTCGTTTTCTATCCATGCATGCCCAGACCCATTATTGGCATGCAACATGAGTGAAAAACAAGTTATTCTTTAATTTTCTAAGAAATCTCATTGTCCTTGGCCATAAGAGTAGTCATAGTTTCCAGACCCCAGAAGTTTGGCCGCGCCCAAATGTCTTATGAAATTGAATTTTCAAGATAGATGGTTTCCTATGTTGAAAATAGACTAGGCTCAAGTTTGCATAACAATGGTCATGCTGAATAGCAGATCGAGAGGCAGCTAAGCATTAACAGGGTGTGCTTGGAGCCAGTGGGCACAGCTATTCCTACACCACAGGGTTTGGCTGTCTGTTTGCCAGCAATGTTAGCAGTGATGTGACATCCACCAAGTCTCTAGAAGGGGCCAAACTGGGTGCTTAATGATAGAAAGGGCAGCTACCAACCTGAAGCTACTTAACCCTAAGACTAGGATCTACCAGCCTTGGCCTTTCACTTGGGTGATTCTAAGCGCTCCAAGGGACCCGTGGGCTATGGAGTAACCATAGACATCAGTGGATTTACCATGATTTTGGTCAGAACTGCAGATCCCCAATGTTTCAGAACTTCAAAGGGGTACGTAAGTCACAAAGCCAAGGGCTCAGAGCCCTGTGTAGAGTGTTAAGTTGAAAAATAGGTTTCTTATAGTGTGTTCCAGTTTTCTATACTTCAGTATGATGTCAAAAATCCTATATAAAATTAATAGAACTTCTTATACCTTACCTCTGAGACTTAAAGAATTTTTTATTTTTGGTTGTTTTTTTCAAGACGGGGTTTCTTTGTGTAAGAGCCCTAGCTGTCCTGGAACTCGCTCTGTAGACCACGCTGGCTTTGAACTCACAGAGATCCACCTGCCTCTGCCTTTTGAGTGCTGGGATTAAAGGCGAGCACCACCACCGCCTACCTGCTCCTGAGACTTTTACTCACCCAAAAAGGTATATAAATACAGTGAGAAAAGCAGCCCCAAGGAATTCCTGGTAGAATATGATGCCTGTGTAAGAAAGAGGACAGAGTGAATTTTAGGGTAGCGACATTTATAATAGCAACACATTATTTTTTTAAAATTGTGTAAATACATTTTTTTCCAGTGTGTGGTTTCCCTTAAAATGTACATTCAGTATTTTAATTTGAAAAACTCTGTGTGCTATCCTTACATTTGGAGCTACTCAAGAGATTCCCATGGGCTTGCAGGCTTAATATAATTATCAATGTTATAAAACCAACATAAGTTTTGTAAGCAAAAATTTCAGTTTTGTCTACATACATGCATGTATTTGCATATGCACGTGAAGTCATATGTGTGCACATGACAGAAGTCAGAGCACAACGTATGTCTTTCCTCATGAGCCGTGCATACACCTTGTTTCTAGAGGCAGGTTCTCTCACTGACCTGGGGCTTATCAATGTGGCTAGGCTGTCTATAGTTAGTTAGCCTCTGGAATCAGAGACACAGCATTTTTTTTTTTTTTTAAATGTGGGTTTGAACTCAGGTCCTCAAGCTTGTATGAAAAGCCCTTTAACTGAGATGTTTTCCCAGCATTGTAAACAGTAATGTCTTATTCAGTCCAGTCCCCCCCACCCCCAGCCTTGTGAACATGCAAGAGAACAAAACTACGGCCACCATTTTCCACCTCTAGTTTTCATCAGGAGTCAGGTGTCTCCTGAGGCCACTGGTGTGGAGGTCTCCCCCAGGCTGCCTGGGCTATCCCTTCGGCTACGTCCTATAAGTCTGGCCAGGTGCCCACGAGGGCACTAGACGAATCTCTGGGAATTGGGTGTTGCCCTAGCTCCATTTTTCTCCAGGAGCTTCCTCCTATCTCCTTTCTCTGGTTTCTCCCTGAAGGTCATGGCTACGCCCTGGGGGCGAGGGTAGCGAACTTCTCTTCTCTCTGTTAGTATCAGATACTTCTTCATTTAAGGTCCCAAAGACTTCGTAGAGCTTTTTATTAAGTAGGAAATCTTTAATTCGCGGACCGTCTGAAACTAGCTGTGCACAGCGAGTGGGTTTTGCCGGCTGGGCAGGGAACATTTACTGTCTTTTGGAAGGTAGTGTCGGAGACACCATGGTGAGCAGGTGTCTTATGTTTCTTCCTGTTTCCATGAGTTTGGCTCAAGTGCATGAGCTCACTATCTTCCTTTTCTGGATTCTCTTAACAGTGTCCCCGTGATGCCTCAGCCCTGGAGCAAGTGTCCTTTTTAAGGGTGAATAGTACTCTATTGTGTGCAGTCATCACTTTTCCTCCCTGTCCACTCGTCTGTCAATGGATACTGGGATTGCTTTCATCTTTTGGCTATTATGGTTAACGCTACAAATTTCTGCCCACTTTTGGGGAACATCCATAGCAGTAGAATTGCTGTATTGTAGAATAATTAAAATCAATTTGAGTAATTGCATACTGTTTTCCATAATGGGTACATAATTTTATATTCCCATTTACCAATGGTAAAGCTAACTTCCTAATCTCTCATATCCTGGCTGCTCCTTTTTTTTTTTTTTTTTTTTTTTTTTGTGGCCTCTCTAGGGTTGGAGAGATTACTCAGCTGCTAAGAGCATTAGCTGCTTTTCTACAGGTCCTGAGTTCAATGCCCAGCACCCACATGGTGGCTCACAATCTTCTATAACTATAGTCTCATGGAATCCAATGCCGCCTTCTGGTATGCAGATGTATATGTAGACAAAATACCCATATACATAAACAAATAAATACCTGGCTGGGCATTCCTTTAATCCCAGCATCTGAGAGGCAGAGGCAGGCAGATCTCTGTGAGTTTGAGGCCAGCTTGGTCTACATAGTGAGTACCAGAACAGCCAGGGCTACATAAAGAGACACTGTCTCCAAGACAATAAAACACTAAAATAGTAGTCATCCTAACGGATGTGTGAAGTGGCATCTCATTTCTTTCTTTGCTGATTACCACTGTGTAACATTTTCATCTGCTTGTTATATTCTCTTTGCAGACACATTTAGGTCCTTTGCCCATTTTAAAGCAGGCCACTAGCGGTTTTGGTGTTGACTTGTAGAATCAGAGTAGAAGCTTTTTTCAAGCCCTTGATAATGCCGTGAAATTCAGTCTGGGAGAGTGGTACCACTTACCCAGCCCTGTAGGGGCACCTACGATAATACGGACTTGCCCGTGCTGGCTACTGCAGTAAAAAACCAAACATTTATTACCTTCGCAGGAAGGAAATGGCATGCAGTTTTACCTTTTGTTGCTGGGAGGAGAGGGCCAAGGAAAAGCTTTACTGCCACTCTACACACAGCATCAGATGAACCATTATCATTTCCAGAAAGCTCGGGCACTCCTAACTCACCAGTTACTCAGTGTCTCAAGCAAAGCATTATATCCAGCCCCAGCAGCTGAACAACCTTCTGCTCAGGGAAGTACATTATTATTTTTTAAATATTTTTCTGTATATTGATTATTAGTGTGTATGTCATGCCTGTAATTCTTTCTGCTTTATTCTAGCTTTCTGTTAATTCTAGGGTAAACCAACATGCAATCTTTTCTCATTTTTATCTGAAAGCACTAGACACTACTAGATAGTTGCTTTGGGATATAATCTTTTCTTTAAGTATTTCTTTGAGGTTCATTTTCTTTTCTTTTCTTTTGAAACAAGGCTGTATGAATCACTTCAAGAACCTGCCCACTGGGCTGGGTGGGCACACATCTGTGATCCCAGCACTCAGGATGCAGAGGCAGGAGGATTGTGAGTTAGCAGCCAGCCTAGGCTACAAAGCAAGTTCCAGGCCAGTGTGGACTACACAGCAGCAGTCTGATGAGAAAGTGGCAAGTACATCGGTTAGCTTGAGCTTGCTGATAACACTGAGCCAGGGCCTCCCTATAGTTATCCAATTTAGAAATGATTTCCTTGAATCTATCGTATTTTGGCTTGGACCAAGTTTTAAGTTTGTACTTTTTTAACATTATTATCTCTGCAATTTGAAAGTATTCATTAAAATACAAGCGCTTTAGGGAGAGGAAATAGTAAATATAGAAGTTTGTCAGGCCTTCTGTGCAAATTAGGTAAATTTATCTGCAGTGGTAAATTAGGCCAGGAACCCATTAAGGTGATGTGGGCACAGAGGGATGGGTTCAAGGAACTGGGGGTATCTGGCCTGCAGGGAAGACTCAAGAGGGTTTTCCCTTCTCTTTGATTAGCAGGAGCTGCAAGCAGAAGCCTGAGAAGGCAGAGCAAAGAGAAGTAAGCTTCAGTTCATAAGGAAACTAATTTGCGCTCCAGTGGAAGGAAACACTTTCTAGTCATCCCCGAGTTAATGAGAGTCATCAAAACAGGATGGGCATGCCTCAGGAAGCAGAGAACATCAGGGAGAGTCACACAAAGGAGAGGACCATGGACGGCATTAGATACTGGTTGGAGTGTGGGGACATGGACTCTCAGAGCTGCCTTGCTCTGCCTCCGAGTCTGAGAGAACCTTGCGCCTGTGGTGGGGTGGCTTCACCTTCAGTGGAAAGCAGGACTCACCTGCGATGATGGCACTGGTTGTAAAGAAAACATGATTGACTGGAACCACTGTGGTCATCGTGTAGAGTTTTGTGGCTTGATTCAGGAACCTATGGAAGACGTCCATTACTGAAGCTCCAGCTTAGCTGCTCTCAGCAGCACGCTAAACAATAACTTCAAGAAATGTATGCTCTGCAGCTAGGACTACAGAGGGAAAGGAAGCGCATTGAGAGAGCACTTCCAATCAGCGGTCATGGCTTAGATGCATCTGATGTCTGAGATCAGATGTCAGGTTTTATGGTCTGTTTAAACCAACAACAGTAACAATGAAAAGCAATTAATCATATTCCGAGGCCACAGAAGTTTGAGTTGGAAGCGATTCAAGCTGCTGGACCGGTATCACACCGGGATTGATTCATTAGGATAGACCTTAGAATCTGTTAAATATCATATCTGGGGAACATATAGCTATCCACTGACATGCCACGTGCCAAGAAAGCAGACAGAGGAGCGAAGGAATGTTTAACGTTTCAAAAGTGATGCTTGCCGCTCCAGCTGCAGAGCACATGTGGGAGCTGAGCCTCTGCTCGGGCCGCCACCGGGGACTCAAGTTCCCACACCGGCTGTGCAGCTCGGTGGAGACAAAGCAGTCAGTGCTTGCCTGGCATGGGCATCACCTGGGAGGTTTTGAAAAGCAGTGATATTAGTTAGGGCAAGCGATTTGCTCACTCTCCAGCAAGGGACAACAGATGTTATTCTTGAGAATAACTGAAAAAAACAAAACAAAAAAAAACAAAACAAAACAACAACAACAAAAAAACCCCCCAGAGGTTTGTGGATAAAGCTATTGTGTGTGTGTGTGTGTGTGTGTGTGTGTGTGTGTGTGTGTGTGTGAGATACACTCTGAATACACTTGTGCAAACAAACCTCCTTGGTTTTAAAGGTAGAGGACATTTTTACTTCCTGAGAGAGTTAAATAAGGTTGACAGGATGCGGTCTTCCTTCAGCTGTGTCTGCCTTTAAATTCCTCAAGTGTGGTATAAAGCAATGACACTAATCACTAAATCCCCAGAGGCACTGTAGCCACACCCAGGAATTCGGAAGACCCAAGTGGCAAGATAGCAATATTCAAACCCTGATAAGCACACCCAGTCTTGTGAAGTGGATTTTTCCCTGTCACTTCCTGCCACGGCCCAGGGCCTACTTAGGACACCCAGGACAGGCTGCTGCTGCCATCAGCACTCTGAGGTCTGCTTTCCTTCTGGGCACTGGGGAGACACTTATGCATAGTGTTTTGGGGGGGGGGGAACTCTCAGGCTAACCCAAGAGAGCCCAGCAGGCAGAGGTCCCACCACGACGTGGAAAGTGAGGCTAGTGATTAAAGCACACGAGGTGGGGGGGGGGGGCAGGAATTAAAAATGTTCCATGTCACCAGTATTAGGACCCAAGAGAAACATGCAACAATCATTTCTAAATCCCCAAGGGTATGAAGGAAATTCTGGCCAAAGATGCAGTTCTGGGGAAAGGGTTTTCCTCCAGGCCAAACGTCTGGTTTTGTCCATCTCTGGGCAATTAATGAGCATGAGCTAAGAGAAGGAGGTGAAGGGTTCATGCGTTTCCTATATTTAGAATGAAAAACCCTGGATGTGGACCTGCCCCTTTGATTTATTGCTAATGACAACCTGTGTACGATCTGTATTAATTACAAGCAGAAGAGCATCGGGGAAGCATCAGGCACACTCAGCTGGATGGCCGCCTTGCTTTAGAATGCGCAAGATGCAAAGGCAGCTCTCAGTACAAAGGAATCACTGGATGGAAGAAAAAAGGGAGGCATGCTGGCTGCGGATAAGCTGGAGGTCCTTTACCTTGAGGGAGCACTGGATTTCATTTTAATTATCAGCTAAGCCAATGTAAAGAGAAGCACAGGACCCCTGAAAGGTCGTCGTGTTTGTAGGCGCTGACTTACTTGACTTGGAAAACACAAGAGGCTATCATGATAACAAGCATGATATAGAAGATGGCGTAAGTTAGCTGCATTTTACCCGTCACAGAAAGAGTGATCATGCCTGAGACAGCTTTCACTGAAATCACAGTCAATGAGGCTGGAAGACAAAAACACAGATAATGCACATTTGAGACAGACATTCAGATACACAAACTAGGTTTACTTGCAGGAGTGGCGAGGATGCCAATTATGCTTTCATGCGATGTTTGGGAGGGTGTGTGGCGGGGCTCTGCTGCTCACACTGTGCTGGGTCTGCAGTAAGGTGCTCACTTTCCAGCCCTGACTGCTGGAAGAATGCCCTGGAGATGACAGGAAGTCCTAGCGGATGGGAAAGGCAAACGCAGTGAAGGAAAGCCGCAGGTCAGAGTGCCAATGCAGCCTTCAAGGGAAAATGACAAGCTACAGGGAAAAGTTCAGAGCTAAATAGGCGAGAAGACAGGAAGTCAAAAGCTAATCGCCGAGTTGCCTGCACTGACTGAGGGTTGTGCTAAGATTTTGTTAGTGGATGCCCTGTAGTTTCTGACAAAGACAATGAAGAGAAGAACCAGGACTAGAACTGTGTATTCATTTCTCAGGCTGAACCGTAAATATGACATTCACAGAAGCAGCATCTTCCGATTTTCCGTGCTGGGAAAAGACTTTGCATAGGTTCCTGAAATCAATTAAGAAAAACAGACTAGAAAACAGGCTGGCCAAAGCAGCGCGTTTTCTTCTCGAGTTTCTATAGAATCCAGAGCTCTATCAGTCTCAGATCCTTTGAAATGATGTTGTGAATGATTTTGTACTTCAGCTGAAACCCATAGGAAATTCTCAAGCAGGGCAGAGGAGATGGTCCAGGGGCACAGTGATTGCTGTGTAAATACAGGACCTGACTTCACATCCCCCAGAACAAATATAAGTATTGTATATACTTATATTATAAGTGCGCATCTGTGACCGCCCTGCTGGGTAGAGGTAGAGGCAGTAAGTGGATCCTGGGAGTTTCCTGGTCAGCCAGCCTAGCTGAAATGGCAGGCAAGACTTCTCAAAGTCAGCCTCAGTCTGTCACACATGCCCAGAGGAGTGAGGCACATGTGTACTCACACACAGACATGACACACATAAAAGAAAATTCACAAATAATTTTTTTTATGAAATCAAGTGATTACAAGCCGAAGGCAATATGAAAGATGTTATTGTAGGTCTGCATGGTCATAATACATCAGAGTGTTTTTCTCCTTAGCTTAAGCATTTTCTTTCAATTAAAAGTCATAATTATCAGAGATGAGGAGACAAATTCTAAAATGAATCTCGAATCTGGGCCAGGAGGTCTTATAACCTGCATGTACCCCATCTCAAAGTGTCTTCTGACCTGTTCTGCCATATCTGACTGAGATACCAGTCAGACCTTAGGTAATCTATGGAGCTTAAGCTCTGTACATTTGTATGTCGCTCAGTGTTAAAGTGTGCTGGTCATTCTTCAGGGACCCTGTCTTTCTTCTGAAAGTGGAGATCAATGTGGCCACAGCTGTGTGGTCTGGCCAGCCAGGTCTCACAGAGGGGTGATTAATGGAGAAGGAATTGAACACCTTGTTCCAATAGCCTCAGGGTGTCAGGGTTACAGAGGACCTTAGCAGTCAGCTAGCTTAACTACCATATAATTAGAGGTAAACTCAAGCAAAAGAAAGAAAGGGAGGAAAAAAGAAAACTAGACTTTTTTTTTTTTTTTTTTTTTTTTTTTTTAAAGAAAGCTACCAAACAAACTACTACTATAATTCATCATACTGTGGAAATATGAATATTTTTGTAACCCTTCAAGTTATTTCTAGGCTGGTATCAAGCACTACAAAGTACTTGTTTTTGCTATTTGGGTGGGGGGGGGGTCAAGGGGAGAGTAGCTGCTGAGAATATAGGTTGAAATTCAAAATTGTGACACAGTATCAGTGTGATGTACATTAGAGAGCTAAGCATGCAAGGAAGATGGCTGGAAACATCATTAAGATACTATCAGTTGCGGATGTATCCCTGGTGCACAAAAGGACTTTGCAAACATATCCCCCATGGAGGGATAACTGCCTTATTCTAGAGATAGGAGAGAAGCCCTAGTCCCTACTTCACAGGACCTGTCAGATCTACATGACCCCAACTGGATGGCATTCCCCTACATATTGTATTGTGGTGGGGGGTTGGGAGGGGAGGGTGTTTAGAGTGCATGGGAGAGGGTAGAGAGGGCAAAAGGGAGGGAAGGAGGGAGGGAAGGCTTGGGGGGAGGAAGGGAGGGAGAGGGAACTGGGATCGACATGTAAAATAATAATAAAAAAAAAACAAAAAAAAACAAAACAAAACAAAAAAAAAAAAAAAAAACGCTTTGACTCCAAAATTTAAGTTGAAGAACAAGTTACTGGGGAAAAGTATTTCTATTTTTGTTTCCACAGAAAATGAAAAGATGTGGATTCCTTCCAGACTAATGTGGTTTGATCACACCAGACCGCCTGAAACAGAGTACAAGCTGACCCTACATTCCAAACAGCTGGACAAAACAGCCCTACAGACTACAGCTAGGATATCTGAATCTTCTTCGAATCCCCCAAGACAGCGCCCCTTACCAGCAGGAAGTAGTTTGGAAAGAACGACGCCCAAATTCCCAAATATTGTGTATAAATGTTTGTTTTCATTTAATTGGACTTTGTTATATAAAAATTAAATAAAAAATACTCTATATGCATAAAAAAAAAGATACTATCAGTTGACCCTGGGAGTATGGTAAAAAAAATTAAATAAAAATATCTATAAAAACATACAAGTTCATTTAAAAAATAGAAAATGTAGAAAAGCTTGGAAAGGAAAATAAAAATCAATCATCACACCAGATCTCTATGAGTTTGCAGCCAGCCTGGTCTACAGAGTGAGTTCCTGGACAGCCAAGGTTACACAGAGAAACCCTGTCTTGAACTCCCCTTCCCCAAAAAAAGAAATCAACTGTCATCTTTTTCAAAATTTATTTTTATTTCAAGTGCATGGGTGTTTTGCTATGGGTGTCAGGGTCCCAGGAACTAGAGTTACAGACAGTTGTGAGCTGCCCTGTGGGTGCTAGGAATTGAACCTGGGTCCTCTGAAAGGGTAGTCAGTACTCTTAACCAATGAGCCATCTCTCCAGCTCCTAACTGTCATCTCATCCTCAAGTCAATTCTTAACATTTGGGCACATCATTATTTTACATTTTCAAGGAAGAATGTATCACAACGTGTGACTCACACAGTTTACACCACTTAGGAACTTATTTTCCATCACCAATAAGTATTTCCTATGCCATGAAGTATTCTAAAGACTTTTATTGGCTGTCAAGAATGCCTTTGTATGAGGTGTATAATTTATTTTGACAATTTCCTATTTTTGGATATTTAGATTGAATCCTTCTTTTTTCTCTATTACATTAAAATGAGGCTGCGCTGATTTTTCCTGAACATAAATCTGTCCATCATTCTGCCTATTTCCATGGAAAATCACCTGAAGGGGAATCAGTGTGTTGACAGCTGTAGTGTGAAGGCTTCTGAGACAGCCTCGCAGACAGCATTCTGGAGCAGGGATCATGCTGTCACAGTGTCAGCCTTCATGACACAGGTTTTTATTGTTTTCTCTCTATCTTTCTCTATCTTCTTAATCACCAGCCATAAACACACATTCCTTTCACCGCTACAACACATTCCCCTGGCTCCCTGCTCTTTCCTGGCTTCTCTTCAGTTTAACACTTAGTTCTTCCTCCCATGCTAGGGGTTTCTGGGTGACAAGATACGAGATTAACATCTCCCGATCAAAGCCATTGATATTTCAGTTGTTAATTTTGCTTTGACAACCAGAGTGCGCTAAAAATAGGGGGAAGTTTCTGGATTCTCAGTGTTCTGACCCTTGGGAGGACTGTGCATTGAGGCTTCACACTTATTGTTTTAAGAAAGGAGGTCACAGATAGTCACTAACAATACCACACTGTGCAACAGAACTCAAACCTTAACCATGCCCAAACAACAACCAAAACCGCACTAGATTTACCCTGAGATTTCACTGACATTCAAAAATTGTTAAGAAAATACAATTTAAATGCTCTCAGTATACAAAAAAAAAAAAGGCAGTGTTTGAGGTGGTAAATATGTTAACTATCAGTTAACTATCATGACATCTTTACCCCATAAATTCATGTAGCTATACATTGTCAATTTATAATAAAAGTCTCTAAAATTAGGGACACTTGAGGGGTAGTATGGAAACCTAATACAGTAGATGCTTCCTAAAACACACACACTGATGAGCTAAATGAAATTGCCAGATAATGGGGGAGACAGAGCCCCAGCTGTCCATCTCCTGTTAGCAAATGAAGCTTCCAGTATTGGGAGTGGGTTACACCTCATTGAGTTGTTGACCAAAGGGGTCCCATAGGAATCCTCAAACAACCCAGGCTGTTACCAACACTATAGGTTGCTCTCCACAAACGACAGCTCCCCACTGCTAGAGACAACACCTACACAACTCACTGAACATGGAGAAACTGGCTGACACCTGCATAGAGCCTTCACCCCTATGTTCTAGCATCTTTGGCACAGGAAGGTATTCTGCATGCAACCCAAACAAATGCGAACACCAAGCCAGCCACAAATGCTCTGGTCTACAATAGTGTCCTGCCTGCAAGACATGCCAGAGTAATGGTGTCACACCAATTGGACTTAAGGCCTTCTCCAAGAGGTAGAATCTACCCAACACTGCTTGGGTGACTAAGAACCTGAGAATAGATAGCCTGGGGGCAAATGCTACTGGTCTAAAATAAGAATACCAATGAAAATGACTCCTAATGAGATCCTCATAGACTCATAGACTGGTCCCTTGCTGAGCCATCCTCAGAGAAACGTTCTCCAGTAACAGACGGGATCAAATACAGAGACTCACTTGCAGAGAATGAGCGACCATGGAACACTCAGCCCTAAGGGGGCGTCTCCATCTAATCCCTCTCCTCAGGTCCCAGAGAACCCTGTATAAGAGGAAGCATGAAGAGTGAGAGACAGAGGGGATGGAGGACACCAAGAAAACAAGGCCGTCTGAGATCAACACGACCAAAACGCATTTGAACTGGCAGAGGCTGAGGCAGCATGCGCAGGGCCTACATGGGCCTGCGTCAGGTCAGGTCCTTTGCTTATGTGTCTTCCCGTTCAGTGTTTGTATGGGATTCCCGAGTGAGCGAATGCGTGGGTCTCCCTTTCTTCCTCCCCCCCCCCCCACTCTTTTCCTTCTGTTTGGTTCATCCAGTTCTGAGGTGTTAGTTTTTTTTTTTTTTGTATTATCTCATTATATCTTACTTTATTATATCTTATTTTATTATTATCGCCTAGAAGCCTGTTTGTTTTCTAATGAGAGACAGAAAGGGAGTGAATCCCGATGGGAGGGGAGGTGGGGAGGACCTGGGGGGGAGTAGAGGGAGGGGAAATCGTCATCAGGGTATATTGTGTGAGGGGAAAAAAAAATCTGTATTTTCAATAAAAGGAAAAACTTAAAAAAAAGGTGTGTGTGTGTGTGTGTGTGTGTGTGTGTGTGTGTGTAAAGAAATGAAGTCATCAGATATAGCTACTCAATGGGAGCCCTTTTGTTTCTCCTTTCTCTTTCCTCCCCTCTCGCTTCTCTCTCTCTCTCTCTCTCTCTCTCTCTCTCTCCCTCTTGAGATGGGGTCTCATGTAGCTCACACTTGACCTCAAGCTCAAGAAGAATATAGCCGAACCTGACCTCGCGCTCCCGATTCTGCCGCTGGCACATGGGAAGTACTAGGATTACGGACTTGATTTATTAGTCAGCATTAGGTCAGCAATGAAGACTACCCACACCCTTCCACCCCCTCTCACCTCCAGCCTGGCCTCACGGGCGCTTTCTTGTTTGTTTTAACTGTATGTGTGCGGCTCTTCCGTCTGCGAGTATGGCTGTGTCCCACTTGTAGACACCTCTTGCCTGCAAAGGCCAGAAGAAGGCACCAGATCCCCTGAGGTGGAGGGGGGGGGTGGTGGTCACGTGTCCTGCAAATCATATGCCCGGAAGTACGCCGTGTGCTACCTTTTCCATTTTATACAGCACTATACAGTTTTCAAATCTTCTCATGCGTTTCATAACTACTTTTTTTTTCTTTGAAAAGCCACTAGTGACTGGCAATGGTTTCCTATGATCACAGTACTAACGAACAACTGTAGGTTCTAATATTAAGTGTTTCCACAATGGTCTTGAATTTATGTGCTGCAATTAAATCTGGGCTGGCATTTTGTGTGGTTGCAGCTGGAGCACTGTTAATGCTTCCAGGTGTCAGGCTTTTTGTAAGTATCTAGTTTAGTAATTATTTTCTGTTTTTATTTCACTGTGAATGTGATTTGTTCTATTTCAACTTTCTGGAACTTATCAAGGACATTCTGCACAGCCTGTTATAAAATCTACATTTGTAAATAGCACACAGCAGAGGCAAGAAGGGCCTCTCTTGAGCAGACAGAGTTCAGTACTAGATGGTCGGGTTCAACACTGATTACGTCTTTTATCTCAATGCATTTGTATATCCCTTGTTATCCGCCAACGCCTCTTACTCCCTGTTAGTGTAGATTTCTGAGATTTTCCCACAGCATATTCGACACCCCGATGCAGCCCTTCCTCCTCTCCCTCCCCCTTCCTCTTCCTTCTTTTTCTTCTAGACAGGGTCTCACTTTGTAATACTGACTGTTTTAGAACTCATTATGTGTACCAAGCTAGCTTCGAACCCACTTCCCTCTCAAGGGCTAGGATTAAAGGCGTGCATCACCACGCCCAGCTAGACTAGCCTCTTCTTATCAGAATGCTTTTGCTTGGTTTAATTTAATGCTGTCTGCCTGATTTTTAACTTAATAAAACACTATACCTGTTTTTTCTACTTCAGGCATAAGTTGCACAGTTCTAGGTAAAGTATATATGGTACATACGTTGAAAACATTTCACATCCAGCAAGGCTGGTCAGAGAGGGAGCAGGCCCTGCAGCAGGCCCTAGTGCTAATCACAGCAGGTGTAGAGACCTGAGGAGGGGGCTCTGGGAGGACTCCTTCTAGAAGATAGCGGGCACGTGTGTGCTTATTTCAGTGACCCACACAGAGTTGTACCCATGCACATGGACTGAATCCAATTCAGAACCATTTTGAAAATCAATCTGAGAGTTTCTCTGATGTCCAAATTAAACATCTTTAAAAACCAACTTGTTTCATTTACATTTATGTTTACAACTGGATCTGAATTCTGTTTGGCTCCTATTTCAACTTTTCTTTTTTCTAATGCTTTCCTATACGGTGTACATTTTTCTCTTTTTCTTGTTTGCTTTTGAGACAAGTACAAGGCTCCCCCTCGGTTTCCCTGATCGCCAAAACACCTGCAGGTGGTGTTTGTGTGGAGGATATTTGTTTCTAAAAGTGTCATAAACACAAATCCTCCCATGCAGAGGCAGGGACTAACTGATGATAGCACAGCATCTCAGTAATGGGTGAGGTGCACCTACTCCAGTGGTCCATCTATGGCAAAGGAGGGTTAAAGGAAGACTTCTAAATAAAGTATTGAGAGAAAATTACTCAAAAGGGGCCGTGAGCTGTCTTAGTGTCGGCATATAAGTATATAAGAAAGGTCAGGAGGGATGGGAGAAGAGACGGTGTGAGAAAAAAGTACATAAAATACACCTGGTTATCTAAGCATCAGGTTGCAAACTTTCCAGGAGCCACTGGGATGAAAAGTAAACAAAGAACAAAACAAATATAATATTTAAGAAAATCATGCTACTCATGCTTATGTTTCATGTTAACCATATTTAAGTAAAAAATATAAACAGGGTCAATCTTCTTGCTAAGCAAGTTCTGACAAATGGAGTTCATTTGTTTCTTCCTTTTAATATTTTCAATTATTTTCTTAAACAACCCTCAAATTCTCAGGGAGGGCAAAAATTATCAACAGGTGAAAAACATAAGGATATTTTTAAAAGAATTAAATACTTATAAATTGAGAAATGCTATGCAAAGTATGATTTGTGCAATTTGGACTTCGTTTTTGAGGGCTAGAGGTAGAAAACATTGACAGAGAGACAGTATCTGGCTGGGTATTTTCCGTCAGTTTCCTGACTTAGCACAGGGAAGAGACTCAGAACACAAAGCAGGTCCTTACCAAGGAGTGCCACCAGGGTGAGCAGGACCACAATGTTCTTCATTCCTTTTCTTTTATGGAAATACAGAAGAATGCAGAAAACCAGGATTTCTAAGATCTAAAAATGAAACAGATTTAAGAAAAAAAGAAGAGTAAGTTACTCTATATAGCTCACAAGATGTCCCAAACGTCTGCTTGGATTTGCCACGGTTCTCATGAGGGCTGTGGTGACCGAGGTCCCCAGGGCTGACTGAGTGCAGTGCAGCACCAAGAGCCTCAGCCACCCAAAGAGCCTGAATGCCACTTACCTACCAGTGACACCAAGCCCAGCTCGACAGGGCCAGGTCCCCTGCCATTCTAGTCTCATTTACCCAACTGTTTCTTGTCCCTGTGTGCACTGAGCAGCCATGCCGTGCTAAAATGGGCAATTCTCTTAACTCTTGATTCCTCACCCCCTGCCAGGTCCGTCTGTAGTCATGCACCACTGCAGGGTCTCCTAGCTTGGTCCCCCTTTACCTTCTGCCAGTCTCTGTGCAAGGCTGCAACCATCTTCCACTCTGCCTGACTCTACCCTTGCCTTTCAACACTTCTACCATCTGGCAGTCCAGAATTATTTAAAGCTATGGATAAAGGAAATGTGGTTCACTGACACAACAACATTTTACTTAGCTATGCAGGACATGCAGGAAAATGGTGGAAATCATACTACATTAAGTGAAATAAGCAAATCAGACTAAAAAAAAAAGTAAAAAGAAACAACTGTGCATGAGATTCTGGTGGGACTGATACTGGGAGTAAAAATATAAATGAGCTCCAGCTATTCCTTTGCTTGGATTTCTTACGCTCTGCCAATCATGATGACCTTTGTTCTCTTCCTCTTTCCCTCCCCTGCCTTCTTGTCACTCTAACGCGGTGGTTCTCATCCCCTTGGGGTTGAGCAACACTTTCATAGGCTATTAGGAAAGCTGAGAACCACTGTGCTAGTTTTTCTTGTTTTCAGATGTCCCTTGGCCAATCTTCACACAATGGCTCTTCCTAGTCATCCAGCTCTCAGCCGAAATGTCACCCAGGCTTCAGGTTGCCGTGGCCTGTTTATCATCATCTAGCGCGATTCCTGCTCTGTTTCTTCTCTGTCTTCTCAACTAGAGACAGACCAAGCCAGTTCAATGAAAACAGGAACCTGATCTGTTCTCTTTGTCACTTTCTCTCTGTCCAGCACATAGTTGGTCACTGAATGAGTATTTACGGAATTCACAAATCTATTTCAAACAGCTGGCCTGCTAGCAGACCTAATATCCAATAAACCGAAAGTCCAAAATTTTTCTGGGTTTAAGAAAAGCCTACTATCATCTCAAACTCTGTGTTTGTTTTTTTGTTTTTGTTTTTTAACATTTAAAAATTTGCTACCCTGAAAGAATCTGAAACCCAGCTATGGTTATTTTTGGTAAAGAGATGGTAACCCTGCAGTGAAACCATAAATATGAAGACTTGCTTTTTAGACAGAAGACAACAATTTTTTTTTGAAAACAATCATTGATTGTTTAAACAGCCACTATTTCCAGGACTGAGTTTTACTAATAGAGCCTTCTCTAAATAATGCAAATTTCTGTTTGGGCTCTAGATCCTGCCACTGGCTAGATCTCTTTCAATTAGGAGGCTTTCCATATAATATAGAATATTAAATGATCATTTCAACTTTTCCCTGGTAAATGAAGCCATTTATCACTTTTCTGCAAGGCCATTAACTAAGATGCCCTACAAAAGCTGTCCAAGAATTATTCCTATGCCTCCCCTCTAAGTGCTCTCTATGATCCTCTCAAAGTGCTCCCTACGCCTTCCTCCAAGTGCTCCCCATTCTCTCCAAGTTCTCCCTATGCCTTCCCTCTTAGTGATCCCTATGCATTCTCTCCAAGTGCTCCCTATGCCTTCCCTCCAAGTGCTCCCTATGCATTCTCTCCAAGTGCTCCCCATACATTCTCTCCAAGTGCTCCCTATGGATCCCCTCCGGGTGCTCCCTATGACTGCACAGTGCTCCCTTGGGTGTTTTAGTCTCCTTCCACAGGAAGGTCTTCTTGGCCCAGTGCCCCTCATTGAGGACATCCAGTTCTCACCTGATGTAACTGTACCATAGGATTCATTACCAGGGGACAGAGGCCCTCCCTGATGAGCAGAGCATGGGGCATCTGCTTCAAGCTCACACTAAATGTTGCTGAGTCAGGATATAGATAACTGTAGCCAGTTCTGAAAAATCATGTAGTTTCCCTCCCCCCCCTCAAATCCCATCTCCTTGACTACAGTGGCACTGGGTTCCACCTCGGGTCAAGAGGTCACAGAGCTCCCAGGGATAAAATATTCAAGCAGTATGAACAATGTCCACTCTTTTCTACACTTCTCTCTGATGCTCACACAGCTGTGGCTTTATGTGTCCCTGTGCCCCACGGAGAAGCTGCACTGCCGGCTGGCCTCTGTGAGCCCTGTGTGCACTGGTCCCAGGGCTCTGCTGCAATCAGGTCACCAGTCCTTCCAACCACCTTAGGAGGCAGCTACTATGATCACCTCCATTTTACAAGTGAGGAAACTGACACTTGTTATGTACGTGGGGCATGCTAAAGAACAATGCCCCGGAAGGCAGAATGATGCCACCCCACCCAAAGAGGCCCATGTTCTAAGTCCTCAGAACATTTGTTTACATATTGCACTGGGGCTCTGCAGCTGTGGTTAAGCATATGGATCTGAATTGTGAGATGGTCCTGGACGATTCAGGCATGTGAGTCTGAGAAAGCAGAAGCCACTGTAGTCAGAGGGACCGGCAATTCAGGTCAGACTGCTGAGAACCTGTAGGACCTGGCAAGTGATAGATTCCTCCCTGGAGACTCTGGAAGGGACACCGCCTGTCAGTCCAGGGTCCAGAACAGTAATTCATTTCCGAGTTTGTGATGATTTGTTAAGGGATTCATAGAAAATGGATTCAGATTTTGGTTCCTGAAATCTTTTCCAAAGGATTGTCTTTGAGATAAATTTTCTGAGTTGGTGTGGTGGTTTGAAGAGGAATGACCCTCACAGACCCCTGTATTTGAATGCTTGGCCTGTACGGAGTGGCACTCTTAGGAGGTGTGGCCTTGTTGGAGGAAGCGTGTCACTGTGGGGGTGGGCTTTGAGGTCTCTGATGCTTAAGCTATGCCCAGTGTGGTACACAGTCTCCTTCTGCTGTCTGTGGGTTAGGATGTAGAACCGTCAGCTCCTTCCCAGCATCATGTCCGCCTGTACACTGTCATGTTTCCTGCCATGATGATAATGGACTAAACCTGTGAAACTGTCAGCCACAGTGAAATGCTTCCCTGTATAAGAGTTGCCATGGTCATGGTGTCTCTTCACAGCAACAGACACCCTAAGACATTGGCAGTTGGTTTTGGAGTCGACATGTCCCTCCTCCCCACCTCCGTTATGTAGAACAGGCTGGCCTTGAAAACTCACAGAGATCCACCTGCTTCTGCCTTCTTGAATCTAATTAGAACTAATGGTAGTAGCTATCCTGTTTTGGTAATATGGGGTCAATGGTAGTCTAGGAGATGACATGTTAAAACAGACAAATTTCACCAGTCTGAGTTTATCTTCTATTTTTTTCCCCTCCCCTCTCTGTATGTGTCTATGCACTTGAGTGTGGCTGTCCATGGAAGCCAGAAGAGGGCGCTGGATCCCTTGCAGTTGAAAGTACAGGTGGTTGCTGATGTGGGTGCTGGGAACGGAAGTCCTTTGCAAGAGCAGAATATGTTCAAAACCACCGAGCCACCTTTCTAGCCCCACCCTCTTTTCTTTCTTGAAAGCTGAGTCATTCAAATGACTTTTGTCTCACAGGAATAGCGTCTGACAAGGTTCTCTGCAGACATCTTGGTCCTTGGTAGTCTGTTGCACTGAGCCTGCACAGGCAGTTCGGTGACGTGAAAGACTGACTTGGTTTTGAGTTCTGATTGCCTGAATTCGTGTTTATTGACTTTGGCCAAGTTATCGGACCTCTCTCTACGCTGCAGCTTCCTCTTCTGGGAGGTGAAGGAGACCGAGGTGCCCACTCAGAGGACTGCTGCTAGGTGAGGTGCAGAGAGAGGCCACAGCTGTGCACAGGCTTTGCCTGCTCTGTGGGAGTCCTCTACTGCGCATCCTCTGCTGCAGGCACACGGTGTTGTTTACATCTAGACAATAAAGCAAAGGGATCTCACACCAGAGATGTTTAATAAAAACACAGCTTTCTTCCTCCGGGTTCACAGCACCAGATGGTGGGTGTTGAATCAGCTTTGTCAGAACTGCAGACTTAATAATCAGCATCGGGGCATAGAATTACTTCAAATGACAGGTTTGGTCCCTGCCACTGCTGAGAAAGAAAATGAGCAACTGTGTAGATTATTGTGGGCAGGATTTTACGTTTGGAACAGAGGTTTCCATTTGAGTAGTTTATTGGAAAGTCTGGGTGGGCAAAACAGCCACCACAAAGCCTGCCAAAAAGCGTGATGCAATTGAGGCTTAGGGCCATGCTTCCTGTGTGGGCTGCAAGGAGTGCATTCACAGGTGTGTTGCTCTATAGCTCTTTGGTCAAGCAGGACATATGGGACTAAGGAAACTTTAATCCATCTTCTTTTTAGGGGCATGACCTTTAGCCCGCTGGCACAGGTGATGGTTTCCTCAGAGGATTGAGTTATGCAGTGTCTTTCCAAATTACTCTGACCTTGAGACCCAACTCAGCCTCCACTTTTGGCAGGTTTTAGTGAGGAGAACTATTTCTCAGTGGCAGATGGGCCTGGGAAAGCTGGCCCAGAGGGTGAGCAGACTGAAGCTCTCCCCCGCCACTGGACACCAGGCTCCTTAAATCACTTTCCTGCACAAGGACACCAAGGAGGGGACAGACTCCTGACCTCACTGTGGTGGGGCTTCCACTTAACGGGGAACTGGAGAGAACACAGGCACCATGGTCCACGTCAACATATACTCGAGGGGCGGGAGGTGAGCCGGTCCAGAATATAACTTGACAGTCCCTTTGTGGAAAATGCAGAACTGATGAAGACTTTCGAATATTATTTTTATTCATTTGATATGTTGGTCTGATCAGTCCCGATAAGCAATCCAGATGCTGTAATTATACTTGGTGTAATACAGAAACAATGAACGGCTTGTCATAAACTAGTCTGTTGGGTGTGGTGTGGAGACAGGGTCATTCTATGTATCCCAGCATGGCCCTGAACACGTGGTCCTTCTGCCCACCCTTCCTGAGTGTTGTGATTACAGACATGTGCCACCACACCCAGCTCACAGAATAGTCTTAAGGTGATTATGACCTTTGTGAAAACTAAACAAAGAAACACAACCTAAAAAAAAACCTATCACATCTGAAAATTGAACTTTGATTATTTAGATGTCTAATAGATTTAGCCCAAAATTCAGTTCAAAGGTCTTAGCATGGAATAGTACACTACATTATACTACAGCACTACACCACTACACTACCCTGCTATATTACACTATGTCACACTACACTACACTATACCATACTACACTACGTTATATAACACTGAAGTACATACAGTACATTACACTACACTATACTATACGACCCAATACTACACTACACTATACAGTACTACACTAAACTATACAATACTATACTACACTACATTACACTACAATATGTTGAATGGGTTAGTAAATACATTGCATACATGCATGAAATTCTCAAAGATTAGAAATATATGTAAGCTGGGTGCTGATGAATGCCTTTGATCCCAGCATTCGGGAGGCAGTGGCTGATAGATCTTTGAGAGTTCAAGGCTAGCCTGGTCTATAAGAGCTAGTTCCAGTGGAGAGATGGCTCAGAGGTTAAGAGCTGCTCTTCCAGAGGTCCTGAGTTCAATTCCCAATAACCACATGGTGGCTCACAACCATCTGTAATGAGATCTGGTACCCTCTTCTGGCCTGAGGGCATACCTGCAGACAGAACACTGAATACATGATAAATAATACATCTTAAAAAAAAAAAAAAAAAAGAGCTAGTTCCAGGACAGGCTCCAGAACTACACAGGGAAACCCTGTCTCTACAAACATACATACATACATACAGTAAAAGAATAAGCTTCAGAAAAATATCAAGGTGTAACAAAATTCAGAGTATTTTTGTGCATCTGTAAGGTTTAATAAAAAAGTTTGTGGACTGGGGATACATCTTAGTAGTAGAATTCTTGCTTAGGGTGGTGCTAACTAAGCCTGGTTTCAATCCTCAGTATCATGAAGGAAAAAAAGAAAAAGAAAAGCAAAGATTTTAAAAGGCATTTTGTCCTTTTCAGATGTATTCTCTGGTGCTAAAAACAATACAAGATACATCATCATTAAACCATGCAGTTATTCCAGGAAAGAAGGCTTGATGCATCTTTAATCTCCAGGGGATCCAACTCAGGCTATTAATTTTCTGGTCATAGGCTATGTCACTTTTTTTGTTGCTCTTGTTGTTGTGGATGAAGCATTTGTTTTGCCCGTAGGCAAAAAGTTGTAATGTGTTGGTTAGATTTCAAGCCTGCACTACCATGAAATATTTAATAAAGTATAAAGAACAGAAGTAAATCAGAGATTAAAGATCCCTCTAGTGCTTAGAGTTGATTGATGAAAGCTGTGGTAGTTAACAGACTATGATGATGGACAAGTAAGAAAACAAATGGGGTGGAGTGAAAGCAGAGTCTGAAGGTCCCCAGGAAGGCTAACTTGAGTTGGGAAGGGCTAAGGAAGAGCTGGGAAGTGGCAGCCAGCCAGGGTAGGAGTGAAGTCCATGAGAATAAGAGCCTGGCTAACAACATAGCACAAGCAGTTGTTTCTTTAGGCAGGACCTTATTGAGTGATAGGCTGGTTGATTGGCTGATTAACCAACAATTCTGTGGCAGTGCATTGCTGGAATAGAGGACAGGTAGATAGGCAATTACATCATAATGTGGCCTGTGAAAAGCATAGCAAACAGAGAAACTAGGTTTGTAATATTTCCACAGAAGAGGCTGCATCAGAGCTGCATCCATGCAGGTGAATTTGCTGGGAGGTTCAGGATGACAGAGTTATAGGTTAGAGAAAGTAGGGTACCTTCCTGGCAGAGGAACAAAAACAAAGTATCACCGAGTTATGAGGCTTGCAGGAGGATGCCTGTAGCTATAGTACTGATGATAGTCGTCAGTAAGGGGGACATGTTTCTTCAGACACTGCTGGAGTGGGCTGAGAAACAGATGATGAAAGCTTGGAATAAGGCGGTGCTAATGGGAATACAAGAGAGGGGTCAAGTTTAAGAGATTTTAAAAACATGTAGGGTTGGAGAGTGGGGAAATCAAGATGTGAGAGAGAGAAGTCACATGTAGCTCAGGTCTCCAATAGACCAGATGGACACAGAAGAGATAAGAGATGGGAGAGTTTGGGGGCAAAACACTGAGTTCAGATCCTGATGGTTGCATTTGAGGAACCATGGACCATACATGAAGGGCAGTGAATGAATGCAGAGTCAGGAGAGGCCTGGGAGGAAGCGGATACAGGATGCAAGAAGCATGATGCTGTGTGAACAACGGCATCTGTGCTGATTGGCTTTTTATCAGCTTGACACTGAGTACAGATGCCTCAATCGGAGAGTCCCCTCTGTTAGACAGGCCCATGGGCATGTCTGAGGAGGTGTTTCCCTGATAAATGACTAACATGAGGAGACCCAGCCAAGGGTGGGCAGTTCCACCCCTGGGCATGAGATCTTGGGTTGTGTAAGAAAGTAAGGTGAGAGAGCAATGGCAAGCAAGTCAGTAAGCAGCATTCTTCTGTTTCTCCACCCTTTCTTCTCCCTTCCCTACCTCTAGGGTCTTGCTTTGAGCTCTTCCCCTAGCTTCCCTAGCTTCCCTCGACCATGTACTGTGAACTGTAAGCCAGATACACCCTCTCCACCCCCCCACTTGCTTTTGGTCATGTCATGTTGTTTATCATAGCAATAGAAAAACAAACCAGAACAGGAATCTTTTAGAAGGCCTGGGTAGCATACATTGTATAAGTAGACGCGTATGGTCCGCAGATGAAGAGGTGCCCGAGATGAAGAGGTCAGACAAGGAACAGAATGTAAAATATACCAAGAAGGTCAAGGAAGAGAGACATTCAAGGAGATGATGGGCATGAAGTAAACACTACACAAAGTTCAAGAATTCTTTCCCTCCCTCCCTCCTTGCTTCTCTCTCAGCAATATATATTTATTAATATTAATATTAACATTAATATTAATATTAATATGTGTGTGTGTGTGTCTACTAGGTGTAATGAGAAAGGAGTGGCTAACATGGAAGGCTACAGGATAATCTATTAATGGTGTGTAGTATATGAACACTAAAAGACACAAAATGAACTATTTTTTTTCCGTGGGGTAAGAGAAAGGAATAGAGAGGAAAACAGTGGAGAATGTGTGTAGACAACTGTGTTCCAGTGGTCAGGGTATGTCAGAGGTAGTGAGACAGAGAAATCTTGTCACATAGACTGCTGTCACAGGAGCCTGATTTATACTTGAGGGCAAAGCTCACCTGTAAAGCTTGTAAATGTCAACAGCATGCTTTTGATACTAAGTTGGTAGAGTAGAACATTCTTTTTCTACATCAGTGAACTAGGTTAGATGCCTTCTACTCCTAAAAATATATGAGTCTGTAGGTTTCAATTCTTTATTATTAAATGTACAAGTACTTTTGCTGAACTATTTCTTGGTAAATGCTCACTTAGACAATTCCAATTTTTTTTTTCTGCTTGCCCTTTCTGGAATCTTCTTTTTCTCCGGTCTCAACTGCAATCTGTAGCAAGTCATAAACCTACTGTTTCTTTCTTTATACTTACCAGATGCAGTCATTGTATCAAATAAAACATCTCAGTTAATGTCTTCAACTACCCATTTACCAGTTCCTTCCTTCCTTCCTTCCTTCCTTCCCCCCTCCCTCCCTCCCTTCCATTTTTCTTCCCTCACTCCTTCCTTTCCTCCCACTCCCTCTCTCCCTACTTCATCCCCTCCCTCCTCCCTCCCCTGCATCCCCTGGGATTATACCATTGCTACCTCTTTGATCTCAATGAGGACATTTTGAAAAATGCTTCAATAGTGCTTAATATCTCAAATCCTTAGGCATTGATAGCATATATTTATATTTTAGCAAGTCTCTGGGCTGAGAAGAAAGGGTTGCATGGATTTTCTAACACTGTAGCCACCAGTGGTCTAGAGAATATACACCAGAAACAGTAAAATATTTAGAACCCTTACCACATAGACCAGGAACTGCCAGCCAACAAAGTAATACTGTACTGTTCTTGCTGAGATAGCCTGGGACATATTTGGAGCAAAATTCACCAATAAATATGTTCCTGCAAATGCCACAGTCATACCTTTGAATAAAAAAAAAAAGACAAACCAAAATGAAAACCAGATTAGAGTTTTTCTTTTTCCCTCTTTCCAGTTGGGGTGGGGTCTTGCTATGTAGCCTGAGCTGGTTTGGAACTCATTCTGTAATACAGGCTGGCCTTGAACTCAGGTGTGCTTTATCGGCTTGGCTGCCTTAAAGCTTTTCTTGACTCACCATTACCTAGAAGAGAGTATTATTTGTTGAAAGTCATGCAGTCCCTGATCTCCCACCCCAACTGGTGCCAATAAAATACAAGTCAACTGTCCCTGAAGAGCACAGTTCTTTAAAGGAAAATAAAATCCACGGAGCAGGACATGACTCCAGATTCTGTTGTCCCAGGTGAATCCGAGCCTCCTCAGGGAGTTTCCCCAGACACAGAGAACATTAGAACATGCAGGGACAGAGAGGTAAGGACCCACTCCTGGGACCATTTCCACACCAATGAAGTACAAGTGGGCCAAGTTGACCTAGATCATCCAGTCCAGCTCATGACCAGCTCTCGCTCACTCGCTCACTCAATCCTGGAGCCTGTGAGTTCGGGTGATGGAGACTTTGAAACTCAGCAGTGGGCACTTTAGTCATTGACAGCAGCCTTTCCAAAAGTAACTATGGTGAGAGGGACCCACTCTAGAATTCTAATGATCTACTAGGTCAAGAATCCCAGGATTAGCATAGTAAAAACAGATCATTGCTATCTGCTCGTCATTTTAGCATTACTTAGAACCATGGAGAGAAAAGATGATGTGCATGGAGGGTTAGGGGTGGGGGTGAGGGGTCAGCCACGGGAAGAGTGTAAGGGGGCAGCCTATTTACATACATGTAGCGGCCTGAGCAAACTTTACCTAAGTAGCCCTTTGCAGATACTGCACTTGGAAACATGTCCTCTCTCACCACTGAGCATATATCTCTGTTGTGAATATAACTTACAAACAGCCTTAATGCCAACTGCAAGAGTCTGGTCTATCCATAAAAGCTGACAGTGTGGGGGGCTGATTTCCTACCCCTCTTACCCACATGGTCTAGGTCTTGAACTCAGTTTCTGAGCACAGTGTTTAATGTTATATAAGGTTGACAACAACCTATTCAGGGCCTTGAGAGGCTACATGTCTGCCCCCATTTACACATAGTTTTTAGAGCTATTTCTGATGAGAATATTTAAAATGAAAAACAATACACCTTGTTAAACACTTTAGTAAAAGCAAAATAATAAAAACGCATGCACAAACTTGGGAGAAAATATTGGCCGGTCATGTTCTTTCTTTAGAAAATAAAGGGTTATTTCAAATTAGGTTCCTAGGAGGAATGGGTTTTTTAAAAGTGAGTTTTCTGACCTTGATATGATAAAAGAACACAAATCTACTGGGCACACTTTAAAATGTCTCAGGGATTCCAAGTGTTCCTTTTGTGTACCTAAATTCATGATGACTTTTAAGTCTCATTGCCAAAGTTTCTCTTCTCATCTTACATGACCCAGCACCCACCCAGCTTCCTGTGTTGTGATGTAATCAGGAGATAGTTACACGAGCATGTGCAACAAAATTCCAGAGGGTTATGTAGGATCGATCAGCTAAATGCCAAGTGTCTCTCATTCGCCAACAGCACACCAGGCACCCTGCCCAGAGTCATGCTCCAAGGCTCCTTCCTAGGCTTCATCTTTAGAGGCGTGTGTGCATGCACATGAGTTTTCTTGCTTTCATATAAGCAAGAGCATATTGTAGACACTGCTTTGCATTGACTTCTCTCTCACTTAGAGAACACTGTGGAGAAGATGTAAGACAAGCTCTTTCCTTTAAATCTGCTAAGTACTCCACCATCTGACTAGGTACTCCACCATCTGACTAAGTACTCCACCATCTGAATAAGTACTCCACCATCTGACTAAGTACTCCATCATCTGAATAAGTAATCCACCATCTGAATAAGTACTCCATCATCTGAATAAGTACTCCACCATCTGATTAAGTACTCCACCATCTGAATAAGTACTCCACCATCTGAATAAGTACTCCACCATCTGAATAAGTACTCCACCATCTGAATAAGTACTCCACCATCTGACTAAGTACTCCATCATCTGACTAAGTACTCCACCATCTGAATAAGTACGCCACCATCTGAATAAATACACCATCATCTGAATAAGTACTCCATCATCTGAAGGTAGTGTTACTTATTTGGCTTCATTTTCGATACTCTTTCTCATCTGCTTCTACATTTCTCTATCAAGGCATTTTTCTCTCTTTATTGCATTTCAAAACAAATTACAGTTAGGATGTCTGAGGATTTTTAAAACAAGTCCTTCCAAATCTCTTTTCATATATATTACTTCATTTGAAACTCAAATCATTGTGAGTCAAGAGGATAACCCTATAGTGGTTTATTCATTCTTTCCTTATGATCTTAACTTTAGTTACTTCAGGATAGCTTTGTCCTCTAATAGGTGTATGCTTGCTTGTTTTATGCCATCTGCATTTGTTGTTGCTTGTTTTTGAGACAGGGTCTTGCTAGCGAGGGAGACTACAGGCCTGCCTGATCTTATGGCCCTTCTGCCTTAGCCTCTTCAATGCTACGATAACAATCTGTGGGCTCATGACTAACTATTTGTACTATTTAAGGTGATTTTCTATCTCCCTTAGGGGTCATTCATATTGCCATAAGAGTTTAAAAGTGTTGATGTCACTTGCACTTCCTTAAAACATGTTGTTTTTTTTTTTACAATTTTTAAAAATTTTATTACAATCTTATTTTATGTGTCAATCCCAGTTCCCCTTCCCTCTCCTCCTCCCCTGCCCCCCCCCAACTCATTCTCTTTCTGCTTCCCAGGGGATGAGATTTTCAAAGTCTGTCACATCATTTGGAGCAGGGCCTAGGCCCTCCCCCATGTGTCTAGGCTGAGAAAGTTATTCCTCTATGTGGAATGGGCTCCCCAAGTCCATTCATACACTAGGGATAAATACTGATCCACTACCAGAGGCCCAATAGACTGCCCAGTCCTCCAAACTGACACCCACGTTCAGGGGGTCTGGGTCTGTCCTATGCTGGTTTCCCAGCTTTTGGCCTGGTATCCATGAGTTCCCCCTTGTTCAGGTCAGCTGTTTCTGTGTGTTTCTCCAGCTGGTCTTGACCCCTTTGCTCATCACTCCTCCCTGCCTGCAACTGGATTCCAGGAGTTCAGCTCAGTGCTTAGCTTAGTGAATCTCTGCTTCTACTTCCATCAGCTACTGGATAAAGGTTCTATGATGGCATTTAAGATAGCCATCAATCTCATTATAGGGAAAGGGCATTAAAGGTAGCCTCTCTACTATTGCTCAGATTGTTAGTTGGGGTCATCTTTGTAGATCTCTGGACATTTCCCTAGTGCCAGATTTCTCTTTAGACCTATAATGGCTCCCTCTAATATGGTACCTCTTTTCTTGCTCTCCTGTATTTTCCCCCTAACTCAATCTTCCTGCTCTCTTGTGTCCTCCTCTCCCCTCTTCTTCTCCCCTTCTGTTTCTCTTAATCCCCTCTCCTCTCCCCCCATGCTCCCAATTTGCTCAGGAGATCTTGGCCCTTTCCCTTTTTCTGGGGGACCATGTCTTTCTTAGAGTCCTCCTTGCTTCCTACCTTCTCCGGTGGTGTGGACTATAGGCTAGTAATCTGTTGCTCTATATCTAATATCCATATATGAGTGAGTATATACCATGTTCATCCTTTTGTGATTGGGTTACCTCACTCAGGATGGTTTCTTTTTTTCCACTAAGTAGTACTCCATTGTGTGAATGTACCACATTTTCTCCACCCATTCTTCAGTTGAGGGGCATCTAGGTTGCTTCCAGGTTCTGGCTATTACAAATAATGCTGCTATGAACATAGTTGAACAGATGTTCTTATTGCATGAATGTGCATTCTTTGGGTATACGCCTAAGAGTGGAATTGCTGGATCTTGAAGGAGACTGATTTCCATTTTCCTGAGGAACTGCCATACTGATTTCCAAAGTGGTTTGCACTCCCACCAGCAGTGGAGGAGTGTTCCCCTTTCCCCAAATCCTCTCCAGCATAAACTGTTATTGATGTTTTTTATTTTAGCCATTCTGACAGGAGCAAGATGGTATCTCAGAGTTGTTTTGATTTGCATTTCCTTGATGGTTAAAGATGTTGAGCAGTTTCTTAAGTGTCTTTCAGCCATTTTAGATTCCTCTATTGAGAATTCTCATTAAGTTCTGTATCCTGCTTTTTAATTGGGTTATTCGGTGTTTTGGTGACTAGCTTCTTGAGTTCTTTGTATATTTTAGAAATGAGCCCTCTGTCAGATGTGGGGTTAGTGAAGATCTTTTCCCAGTCTGTGGGCTGCTGTCTTGTCTGATTCACTGTGTCCTTTGCCTTACAGAAGCTTCTCATTTTCAGGTGGTTCCGTTTATTAATTGTTGATCTCAGTGTCTGTGCTACTGGTGTTATACTCAGGAAGTGGTCTCCTGTACCAGTTTGTTCAAGGGTACCTCCCACTTTCTCTTCTAAGAGGTTCATTGTGGCTGGATTTATGTTGTGGTCTCCGATCCATTTGGACTTGAGTTTTGTGCATGGCGATAGATAATGGATCTATCTTAAGTCTTCTACATGCCAGCATCCATTTATGCCAGCACCATTTGTTGAAGATGCTTTCTTTTTCCATTTTAGCTTCTTTGTAAAAAATCAGGTGTTTGTAGGTGTGTGGGTTAATATCCGGGTTTTCAATTAGATTCCATTGGTCTACCTGTCTATTTTTTGTGCCAATACCAAGCTGTTTTCAGAACTATAGCTATATAATGGAGTTTGAAGTTAGGGATGCCTCTGGAAGTTCGTTTATTGTACAGGGTTGTTTTGGCTATCCTGGGTCTTTTGCTTTTCCGTACAAAGTTGAATTTTGTTCTTTCAAGGTCTGTGAAGAATTGTGCTGGTATTTTGATGGGGATTGCATTGAATCTGTAGATTGCTTTTGGCAAGATTGCCATTTTTACTATGTTG